TAAGAATTGATTTTTATTTTATCTACACAATCAACTCATGTATATTTTTAATTACCTACTTAATTAAACTAAATCTACATTTAGACTTTTCCTTCCAATTAATTGATAAAGAAGTACTTTATTACACCTTTTAATTACAAAAACAAAACCCTTATTTTTTTTAGTGGGCCAAAACAATAATTTAGTTTAATTAGACTAGAGCAATGATTTAAGATAAAAAAATAAAAAGAGCAACAACTAGGATGATCAAATAAAAAAAGGGAGGGGGGGGCGGGGCAAAAGAGAAAAAGAAAAAAAAGAAAAGAAAAGCATTAAACATCTGAGTACTAAAAATACAACAATTCAACAAACAAAATTCTTAAGTTCTAAGAGATCAAGTCCCAAACATCCTCAATTAAGAGTTAGTACTAGGTAAAATGTCATTTAACGATTTAAGATGTGGCACCCTGTTGCTCAGGAAGTCCGCAACAAAGCACACTGCTGACAATTACCATAATTATTGTATGTAAGAGACATTGCTATGGGAAATTTTATGCTAATAAATAAACGAATGGCAGCAGATAAATGATAAAATTACAGTCCTAATAACAGACCCAAAACCCATGTACATTGTAAAGTGCCTTCCATGTAAATCCCACTTTCTTGGTTATGGAATGCTCAATATACCCAAACCATTTAAGTATCCCTTTTGGTGGTTAATTTGAAGCCAAGAGATGAAAGTATGCTCACTCTTCTTCAGAACTCTAGTGGTCAGACAAGATTTTTTGTGGATCAAGCTGCCTTTTTTACTTGCTCATTCACTTGTGTCTACAAATGCACTAGCACCACGGCTCAATCTATATTTCTCCTTCCTCCATATCATTCACAGGTGGAACACTGGGTGGCTCGCCTTCTTCTTCCTCTTCATCCTCTTTCATGTACAAACCTAACTGCTCCAAGGGGTTACTGCTTCCAAACTTAAAACTACCCAATCCATCCTGTGAATGATCAGGGCTGGTCTCATCTACTGAGCTTGGTAACTGCTCTGCAGGGCCGGATCTGAGCATTTCTAAGTCCTGTAGAAACCGACAATTCTCATTGATTTCAACAGTCTTCTCCATCTGCACGATGCCAGCATGTGGAATTAAAACCAGAACAAAAGCAACAAACCAAGCAAAAGGGATGCTTACAATTGCACAATTCACTCATTTTACCTGCAGCAGTGCTTGTCTTGCTTTTTCTCTCTCAAGCTCCCTCTTCCTTCTAGCCTCTTCTGCCTCAGCCCGTCTTTGAGCATCTAAAGCAGCTTTTGCTTCGGCTTGTATCCGCGCCTTCTCTGGTAGTTGTTAAGCAGAAAACATCCAAACCAAAAACAAATTCATATCAATTCACAAAAAAAAAAAAGACTGCGTATCAGCACAAGAATGAAATTCAGCACCTTTCTTTTTCTGCAGTTCAAGTTCCTCCATCTGCCGTCGCAATTTCTCAGGGTCCCCTCGGTCACCCTGTTCCACAGAACCAAGTGACCAGAAAATGAAAAGACATGGAAGGACTGTTTGGAAAAGATTTGTAACAATCATTTTTGCAGCTGACGAAAAATCCTTTTAAACGGATATGATGTGCAGCTTCTAGAATACGTTGTTTCAGTCAAATATATTTACCATTCAACCTACATCAGTTACCGAAGAGGAGTAACAACTTTGCCATAATTAATCTAGTTTCCCCTGTTTTTTTAGCTATTTTTGTTTTTCCCAATTAGTATAGAAAATCCATCAAAGCCATTGTTTAAAAGCACACATATGTCTCAAAAAGTCAATATTCCTTCAATTTTCCATTCTATCCAAAGCTGTCTCACTCTCACCACCTTCAACTTCCACAATTCAACCACCCAAATATCACCTTCATTTTTTAGGCATATAGAGACAAGGGATTAAACCCTAAACCTGTGGCTAAGAGCACAAGTAACTCTACCAGCAGACCACATGGCTGATGGTCCTATTATCATCTTTATTTTTCCAAATAAAATTCTTCTTGCTTTCATTCAATGTTTTCAACACACAAGTGTGTACTCTAGATTAAGTTTGGGGATTTTTTTTTTCTGCACACATAGTTATTTCTATTACTTTTCCTTCTGATTTAACTGTTCTAGTTTTGGGGATTTTGATTGTGTTTTAATACCTTCACTGGTTTTAGTTTAGATCAAATATTTTCCCAACACCATGAAAATTGCAAGCAATCAAACTCAATAACCAACCTGTGTTAGTGTCTTTTCTCGAGCTTTTAAGATGGTATCTGCAAATCGGTTCTTCAATAGAGCTGCCCTGTAGAAGTTCGGAGAAATCTGCCTTTCACTTGGAGCGCTGTCCCCTAATTTTTTTGAAAAGATAAACTGTAAGATTCTGCCACACATACAAAAAAAATATATATTTTTTTTTCTTCTGAGACCTGATCTCACCATCTTGACGATAATCAGACTCAGCAGAACCTGGCATTTGCTGGGAATTTTGTTCAAGCTGATCCAACCCACTAACACACCCTGTAATAGAATAAGCATAAATAAACTAGTAAGTGAAGAAGCATTTCCCAATTCATGATTTCTTCATCCAAGAAACATCCAGCATAATAATGATAATGAATAAGATAATTAAAATACTTACGGTTTCTATCTAGAGGATTGTCAACACCCTCCTTTTCATCTAATTGAGCTCCAGAACCTACAGTTTCTTGTACCTGAAAGGAATCCCAAGCACCAAGCTAATTGAAAAACTATACTTGCAAAAATACAAGCACAGTTGAACGCTCTACACTTAGTTAAACATGATATAATTCAGCTACCATACAATCTTAAGAGCATCAAGTTATAATCTGGTAATATTAAAAAGCAAATCAAACCAGTGAACACCTTTGCTGCTTCTACTGGATTTGAACCTTTAGCTACATCAGATTCACTCTCAGAACTGCTAGATTCTGAATCTGCAAGGAAAGAAAAAGGGCAAGGTATCAGATTTTGAACCTGCAAGGTATCAGCCACTATTAGAAGTAATTGGATAAAAAATAAACTTTGTAAAATCAGAAGAAAAAGATGACCAACAAACAAAATAAAAGGCAAGGAATTCAACTTTAAAGCTATCAATGGCCAATCACCTAGTGACATAACACCAAACCAAAATTAAGGTTCCTACAAATAGAAATGTAAGACCCCATTACAAAGCACATTAGCATGCTTCCTTGTAGATGAAGTATTTGGTGATCACTCTTTTCCAAATATATAAAAGCAAAAAACAACCTCACATACAAAGGAAAAAAAAAAAGGTACACTGCAAAAATACCAGAAGGAAAAACTCCAATTACCTCTCAAACAGCCTGAGTTTACAGATTTAGTGCTTTTATGGCCTGCATCCTTCTCTATCTGTACAGGAGGGTAGCTTGAGACAGGGGGCTCATTCCCAATATCAACATCCTCATCACCCAGATCATTTCCTGCACATGCAAAATAAATGACAAATAAAAAATTAAACTGCATCCAGTGAGAAGCTTGAAGCAAAGATGGAAGCCAAAAAAACCAAAAACAGACCTTTGCCTTGCTGCATTGATGAATTACTTAGTCCAGATTCATTCAGCAGCTGGAGAAAAAAAGAAAAAAAAAATACTTAATAAAGGGCCACCTGTTTTGCAATTTAAACTTAAATATATGAAAAGCTAAAGATAATGATTTTTCAGCTTTTATTTGGTAGAAAGCCAACCTCAATTTCACAAGGTTCAGCTCTTGATTGGTTTTTCTGTTTCTCTTGCAAATAATCATCTAAAAGCTTTCTCAACAGGAACAGTGTATCATCACTCAGATCAATGATATCAATCTCAAACTCTTCCCCACCCAATTCACTTCCATTCGAACTATGTTCCCTTAAGAAATCAATGATATGGGCAGGAATTTCCCCTAGCAAAGACTCCAGCAAATGGCCTAGGTTGTTCTTTTCCTCATCTGTCATTTTCCTCTTTACAGGTTCTGGTTCATGGTTCATGGAAGACATCTTCCTTTTCTTTACAGGAGGCATTATCTTAGCAGTCTCCATGACTTCAGTAGGTCCAGATTTTGGTTGCATGGACTGACCATCATTAATGGGTATTTTCTTCTCAATGTCCTTCCACCTCACCTCAAAAAACTTGCTAAGAGTATCAGCCATGACATGCACATCATTTCCAGGTGGATTATAGGTCATTGCATTGGTGAAGGTAAGCCTCACATCAGCAAGAAATTCCAAGGGACCTGCATATGCACCTGAAACTATCTTGCTCTTTATTGTTCCCAAGTCCATTGGATGCTTAATAACATTGAAATAATCTGGAATATTCAACTTCACAACATCAACAGGAGACTTGAATACATAAGCATACTTATGGCCCACTAATCTTTTCAATAGATTCTCACATTGCTTCATCAACAACATATTTGCAGCATTTGGGGTTGACGCCTGTTTCACAGATTCAAATCTTCCTGATGTATCCCGGGTCCATCCACGCGACTTGCCACCCAAGCCTGAAGGGTTTCCCTTCTTCACTGATCCAGAAGCTTTCCTTGAAGATTTCCCAATATTATGCATGTAAGGACCTTGTTGCCCATTGCTACAACTAACAATATCACTTGAAGATGACACTGTAACCCCATTAGTCCTTTGATGCTCAGCTTTCTTTTGCAGCATCCTTATCTGTTCTAGTTCCAACTGCAACTTATGTATTATATCCTTCCTTTCGGATGGTAACATGTTTGCAAGTGAAAGCACTTGTAAAGGTACACCAAATGTGTCACGTTTATCCGAGTTGTTCAAACTAATACATTTCCTTGCAGGGGCACTTGAATCCTCCGAAGCAGTAATCTCAGTATCAATTCGTCCTGAGCTACCAGATCCCTCAGATTCACCAGGAGGCCCATAATTGTTCTGATAAAAACCTCCTTCCATCCTATCATTCTTTGCCATCATCTTTTAACCAGAACACTTTAAGTTCCCTCAATTCAGCCTAGGGATCTGATAGTTTATCCACCAAACTCTGCATATATGACAATCATGGGAATAAATAAAATCATCCCATCCATACGAGTAACCATACAAGCCCAATTTTTTATGATAATAATTTAGAGGTTTAGAATTAGAAATTTTGCTTATTATTTTAAAAAAAAAAAAAACCTAATCTTATTGTCCACCTACTTGTATCACTTAATCGAAGCACCCATGTTACCAAAAACAAAGCATGATCCTAAACCCCAAAGACAGAACTGGACACCCCCCAAAATTTCAACTTGGAAGCAGTATAAAACGAAGATTTTCCAATTCATTTAAATGGAGAACAAAAACTATTAGCTCAACAAAAAAGGTAATTTTGCGCTCAAAGCTTCCGCTCAAGACTCGATCCAGTTAACAAAACAAAATTCGGAAGACTCTAAGAGAATTTTATCGAAAAAGAGAGAAAACCTAAAACAGATCGAGAATTTCGAAAGCACCCAAAACCCTAAAACAATTACCAGTACAAGTTTTCCTTTGGCTGATACCAATTAACCATGTTCCTCCTGCTGCTCCTCGGAGAAGAAACGAAAACCAGCTGAGACGAAAATCAATACCGTGCTTGAGACGAACTTAAAAGCCGAAAGAGAGCGACAGAATCACACAGATCTAGAACCCGAAGTGAAATCAATGCTCAGTAGCAGCAGCAGCAACTGATATCAAATCCCAGAATTCCTGATTGATACAGAGAGATGAAGAAGACGGACAAAGGCGAATGATTTGTGAGCGTCGGAAATCAGGAGGAGGAAGCAAAGTGAGAGAAGTAGAAAGAGAAAGTCGAGTTTTAGAGAGAGAAAGATAGTAAGACTGCGCTGGAGTGGGGCAAATCAAGTAAATAAATAAAAAAAAAAAAAAAAAAACCCCGCCCCCGTGAATTTCCTGGAAAGGGCCAAAAAAAAACAAACCCGGAAAAACCCCAAAAGGCCGAAATGCGGAACTTTTAAAGTAAAAAAAATAAAAACGTGAACCATTAAAGACGGGCCACGGACATCCCATGAAGCCCAAAAAAGAATGTGATATGAGCAACGAGACCCATACAAAGCAGATTGGATCTGGTGTACTTTGAAGTTTGAACTCGAAGGCTGTCTGCCGTGTGTCTCGAAATTTCAAAGACAATGGGCATGTTTGGTTTGGATAATGTGTTTCATCTAGAAATAATCTGCAGAGACAAGTTGTTGGAAGAAAAATTTTCATGCCTTAGAAGTTGTAATGAAGGGCAAAATAAGTGAAGTGAGGCGCATCTCGCCTTACGAGTGAGGTGAATTTCTTGATATTAAGAGTTTATCTCTTTATTAATCGTTAAAAATGATATGGTATTTACGAGTAAAATTAAGGTAAAAATGTCACTCATAAAATAGAAAGATATTAGTACAAAAGGTAACTACTAAGCACATATATAGTTGAATACACACATCTAATTTACTAGGTTTACATTTTTCTGATAAAATTCCACACTTACCAAGTTAATTACCATAATATATACAGCTTGATCAGAAAAGTAAGTACTTTCAACTTTGGAAGTACAAGTATATTTCCTTCCGGAGATTTAAGTCCCCCAGCTGCCCGGAGTTAATGAAACCTTGCAAAAACAAGAGAAATGAATGGTTAGCCACAACTTTGGAATAAATCTAGTAGAAAATAGAAAGCAAGCAAAGTGAGAAGGACAAATGTAAATTAATCAACAGAAAAGGGAGACACCGTGCTATGGCATTGGGATATACATGCTAATTAATTAAGCCAGAGTAACTCCTAATTAAGAACTAGATTAACAGCCCCCAAGGATTATCTCTGATTGATCAGGGTTACAAATTCTCATAAATTTTTCTTAATTTCAACACATAATATTCTTTTAACTGTTAATAGGGACATGGGATTAATCTCAAATTACTCAACACATCTGCGGAAAAAGGAAAGTTTCTTAATTTCTTTTATCAACAAGGATCATAACCAATTTTGCAAGGGATGGGTAAAACTATATGTAGATTTGAATCTAAAAACTTCAAAGCTTCAATATAAAGTACCCTTTCTAAGAAGAAATTTAATTAAGACATGGAGGATAAGTTCAAGCTTTGTATGGGGAAAGTATTGCGTGTGCATCCGGTTTTTGTATCTATCCAAGATACATATGCCTTTAATTGGTGCTTTGCACTTCCATATCCTGTACATAGATCCTACCCTAGCTTTCAGCCTTAATAATTAATTAATTACTTTAATAGTTAAGCACATATTTTCAAATTAAAGTAAAAGAATAAGGATTTGTTTAATTTTTGTTTTAAAGAGATAAGTTAATGATGTAATAAATATTTTTTTGTTAATTAATTTACATAAAATATTATAAAGCTTGACACATATTTTAATATTATTAAGATAACTTTAATTGATTAATTAATTAAACTAAAATCAACATTTACACTTTTAATAAAAATTAATTATTAAAAATAAATTTAGTATACTCTTATCTTATACTTTAAGAATTTAAGATTAAAAAACCCAAAAAATAATAATAAATAAACTTAAAATTCAAAATCAATAAAATAACTTATATATGTAATTAAAATTTTATATAAATATAATATATAAACTTTATATATAAATGTATTTATATTTTAAACAAATTATTATTAAAAATAACAGTGACCACAGTCACAGTGAGTTAATTGAATCCATCAATTTCATGCGTCTCGAGACAATATTATCTGTAGGGCCCTTTTTTTTTAACATTCCTTCTCTTCAAGTTAAAGGCATAGCACCACCATGAAAAGCTAAATATATTACAAACAATTTTAGATGAACAAATATCAAATTATTTTAATTGACTCATCCTCACATCCCTCAATTCCTTCAAAAGGCAAAACCTACTCCTCTATACACAACCTGGGAGCCTGGGATGTAATTACGCCCACACTTAATACTACAGTAATTTTTTTCTCAAACAAAAAAAGAGATAGAAAAGTCAATACTTGCTAATAAGTCATGCTGACTTGGTCAGAATCCAGACAAGCACAAACTTTGTGTTCCCATCAAGAACAACGTAAATTTTGGGGTTTGACAAAGTGGAATATGTCCTACCTCCCTGTCAACTTCCCCGTTAAAATACGGTGTTGACCTTTGATTACGTAAAAAGCAACTTAGTTTTTTTTTTTTTTTTTTTTAAACAATTACCATGCATCAAATTGAATCATTACTCAAGAGAGAAGGGTGAACTTTTAAAGTGATAAAGACCACTTAACCCATAATTCAGGTTCTTGAAAAGCAACTTAGTTGATCAAAAAGCTCAAAGAAAGTCCTGTGGAGATTTCCGGCCCACATTTTCATTCATCGGAAAAAAATCATTCTACCAATAATTACTTAAATGAAGTAAGAGCGAGATAAAGAAGGAAAGTTGAGGTCTTTTTATTCCGCCTTATAAGACACTGATTTGGCGAATCCTGTAGACCAGGTTGTTTCTACATTTTAAGGATACTTTTTAGGTTTAATAGTTCATCTTTAAATTTTAATATTTAAATTTTAAAAATTTAGATAACTTGAATTTTCATATTTGACTTACAAACTATTGATACTTGTCCCAACTTTCAAGTTCGCCCCATTCCCTTCCGCTTTTTTCTATAATTGTCCTTGTTAAAAAAATTTTTTTTTGAACATTCATCTAAAGCAAGCTGCATGTTGATTATTTGTAGGGCCCATATTATTTGGAGCAAACCGCGTCTTGATTGACCAACGGCTATATTGCACTCCTATATTTCGTGTATGCAATGACCATCATAACCCTATTGAAGAAAAATAAATCAATGTCTCTAACAATATTAGAAAGTAGCAAGAGATGTAATTCGGAGATTTGAATTCCAAGAAGTTCGAATTTTGTTATGATTTCAGATAAAATGTTTGTCTAATGTTTTATAGTAATTTCATTGGACAAATTTTTATTTCTCCATTTTTCTCAAATAAAAAACAATAAGGTATAATTCTACCTAATTTATTTAATTTGTTAAAATTCGAAATCAAAAGAGTATGGACGAAAATAACTTTTGATAAATTTACTTTAAATTTTGATTTCATAGTATGATTGTGATAATTTTTGAAAAATGTTTTTTTAATATAAAGTTAGTTTTTGTTAATTCAATGGACCTCAAATATTGGTCTAAGATTTTAATTTAATTGAACAAAAAAATTTTTTTTCCCTTTTCCTTAAATCAGCCAACATAACAGGCTCTAATTCTGACTAACTTTTTGGTTACTTAAGTTAATTAAATTCTTTATAAATTAATTAACTGGCATTAGTTTTAAAAATTTATACTTAATAAGATTTTTTTTTTCTTTTTACTTTTTGTCTTCAATGGTTAATTTTAATTGTTTAAGTTTTAATAAGAAATAAAAAATCATTTCTTTTAGTGTAGTCGGATGATGGATATTATATAATAAAAGATAATCTTACTTTTTTTTTAGATTCTTCTTTATCGATCATAAGATTTAAAACTACCCCGAAAAAGGTGGCTCAATGATTATGAGCTTGAGATTTCAACTTGGAAATCTCAAATTCGAATATTGAGTTGAGTGGAGAGGGATTTAGGGAAAGGGAAGGGATTTGGGGAAAGGGGAGGGCTATCCCCTATTGTATAGCTCATTCAAAAGTACAAAAAAAAAAAAAAATCATAAGATTTGAAACTCAAACTTTTAATCATTGCGATGTTATTTAGTGAAACAAAAAACAATTGTAACCATAGTAGCTAAATAGAGCCTTTCAGTCATGGGTCAATATTATTTTGAGATTTCAAGTTTGATTTTAACATGTGTAGTGTTAATTTAATTTAACATTGTACCAAGCTAAATTGTACCAAGCTAAATACATTCAAGTCAGTCATTTTACATATTGTACCAAGCTAAATACATATAATTTAAATTTATAATTAAAAATATATATAATTTTATCGTCAAATCACATATTTTTGCCTGATTTTTCCTTTTATTATTATTATTATTATTATTATTATTATTTTATATTTAGAATATACCTTGAAACGCAATGGAATATTACTTTTGAATGTTTTAGTTAAGCAGGGGATTCTCCTTTATTACCTTTCTCTTTAAAAAAACGAAAGAAGCCCTATAAGGACATAGGAATGAATGCGAAAAGGGACCCTCCAACTCCAAGTTGAAGAAAATTCGTAGGTATGAAATCAAGAAATTTAAGACCAAGAATAAAACAAAAATAACGAAATTAGATGGCAAAAGCCTAAAGCTAAGAGATTAAATATCTTATCTCTTCCTCTTTTGATTTTTTTTTTTTTAATTTTTTAATTTAAAATTTATCTAATTTATAATTTAAAGGTGTTAATTAAAAATGTAATAAATATATTTTTTATAATTAATT